GTAGTAGTAATTACCTTCACATTTGTGTACCCAAGTTACTCTTTTTTAATTTAGAATTCTTTCTGTTAACAAGCATCTACTAAGATATCAAGCGGCTTGAGATTTAGAGGTTAAATGACTTGCCCAGGGCCACATGGCAGGTAAGGATGCATTCAGCCCTCCGGGTGATCTGGCGCTGGGGCCAGGTGAATGTGGGCAGCTGAGAATTTCAGATTAAACGCCAGCAGCCGCCCCGCCCCACCGCCCTCCGTCCTTCCCGTGAAGGGGTGCCACCGCAGCTGATCAGCAGCAGAGTTGGCTGGATGTATCGGCTCAGGAGCCGAAATCAATTTGGGAAGTTAGGGAAATCAATTTCTTTACACGGGTTATTGGTCTTTAGCCTCACAGAAGGATGCTGCTTTCTCTACTTGTCATGCCTGTCCAGTGATGTCTTTCTGTCTTCTTTTCTTAACCTCCAGAGCAGAGAGAAGGGACGACTCCGGCTGGGTTCACGGTGTCAGAGGGACCCAGGCTTCCGGGCATTCCCAACAAAGCACTTTTAACAGAAACCTTGCTTCAGAGAAATGAGGCAGAGAAACAAAAGTGAGTGAGTCAAGGGGGTTTGTGGGGACCAGGGGAGGTTTGTGCTGGGGAGCCCAGTGGTCAGGGCTGGGAAGAGCGGATGCTCCTTGGTTCTCAGGAAAGTCTCTATTTTCATAGAAGCAGATTATTGATCCAGGAGGCCTGGACAACCAACTAATAGGCAGAAAGGTTGCTCAGTGGTTAGAGCACTGGGCCTGGAATCAAGAGCTCCTCATTTCTCAAATATATGGAGAACTGTATAAAATTTTAAGAATATGAGTCATTCCCCAGTTGGTAAATGGTCAAAGGATATGAACATGTAGTTCTTAGAAAAAGAAATCAAAGCTATCTGTAATCATATAAAAATGCTCTAAGTCACTATTGATTAGAAAAATGCAAATTAAAACAACTCTGAGGTACCATCTCATACCTATCAGATTGGCTAATATGACAGAAAAGGCAAATGAAAACTGTTGGAAGGGATTTGGAAAAATTGGGACACTAATACATTGCTGGTGGAGTTGTGAACTGATCCAACCATTCTGGAGGGCAATATGGAACTATGCCTAAAGGGCTATAAAACTGTGCATATCCTTTGATTCAGCAATACCACTACAGGTCTGTATCCCAAAGAAATCAAAGAAAACAGAAAAAGACCTATTTGTACAAAAATATTTATAGTAGCTCTTTTTGTGGTAGCAAAGAATTGAAAACTGAGGGGATGCCCATCAACTGAGGAACTGCAGAACAAGTTGTAGTCTATGATTGTGATGGAATACTATTGTGTTATAAGAAATGATGAAGGAGATGGTTTTATAAAAACCTGGGAAGGCTTACATGAACTGATGCAAAGTGAAGTGAACAGAACCAGGAGCACATTGTACTAAGTAACAGCAGCATTGTAAGGATGATCAACTGTGAAAGACTTAGCTACTCTGATCAATACAGTGATCTAAGACAATTCCAGAAGACTCGTGATGAAAAATGCTATCCACATCCAGAGAGAGAATTGGTGGAGTCTCAGTGCAGATTGAAGCATAATTTTTTCCCAATTTCGTTATTTTTCTTAGGTTTATTTTTGCAACATTGCTAATTTGGAATTATGTTTTGCATGATTTTGCATGTATAATTGATATCACATTTCTTGCCTTCTCAATGGGTGGAGGAGGGGCAAGAGGGAGGGAGAGAATTTGGAACTCAAAATTTAAAAAAAAAAAATGAAAAAAAGAATTAAAAAAATATATATTTTTTATTTTTGTAATAAGACCTGAGTTCAAATCCAGCCTCAGATACTTACTAGCTGTGTGACCCTGGACAAATCACTTAACCTCTGTCTGCTTCAGTTTCCTCAGCTGTAAAGTAGGGATCATAATAACACCTACCTTCCAGGACTGTTGTAAAGATCAAATTGCCTGGCACCTAGTAAGCACTATATGGCTATTTGGCTAGTCACTTAGCCCTGTTTGCCTCAGTTTCCTTATCTATAAAATGAGCTGGAGAAGGAAATGGCAAACCACTCCAGTATCTTTGCCAAGAAAACTCCAAATGGGGTCATGAAGAGACTGAACAACAACTATCATCATTATTATTATTATTGTAGTGCTTAGCACATAGAAAATGCTATAGAAATGGCAGTAGCAGTAGTTATAGTAGTAGCCATAGTCATAGCAATAGTAGTAGTAGTAATAGTAATAGCAGTAGTAATAATAGTAATAGTAGTAATTACCTTCACATTTATAAACCCAAGTCACTCTTTTTTCATTTAAAATTCTTTCTATTAATAAGCATTTATTAAGTAGTAGCTGTGGTAGTAATAGTAGTAGTAGTAGTAATAGCAGAAATAGTAGTAGTAGTAGTAGTAATAGTAGTAGTAATTACCTTCACATTTGTAAACCCAAGTCACTCTTTTTCCATTTAAAATTCTTTCTATTAATAAGCATTTATTAAGTAGTAGTAGTAGTAGTAGTAGTAGTAGTAGTAGTAGCCACAATATTAGAAATAGTAGTAGTAGTAATAGTAAAAGTAATTACCTTCACATTTGTGTACCCAAGTTACTCTTTTTTCATTTAAAAATCTTTCTATTGATAAACGCCGCAATAGTAGAAATAGTAGTAGTAGTAATAGTAGCAGTAATTACCTTCACATTTGTGTACCCAAGTTACTCTTTTTTATTTAAAATTTTTCTATTAATAAGCATTTATTTTCCATCCCTCTCCCCCACTCCCATTAAAAAAGGAAAATGAAAAACAAAGTCCCTTATAACAAATGTGCATAATCAAGCAAAATAAATTCCCACATTGTCCGTGTCCATGGTACTTACTCTTCACCTTGAGTCCATCCAACCCCTGTCAGGAGGTGAAGCAGCATCCTTCATCATGGGTCATCCAGAGTCATGGTAGGTCATAGCATTGATCAGTTAAGTCTTTCCAAATCATCTTCACCACGTTGCTGTTATCTGAAAAGTTGTTTTCCTGATTGGGCACATCCTCGTCACTTTCAATATTTTGGTAACCCACATATCTGTGAAAGTGTCCTATGAGATAAAGAGAGCAGGAGTCATGTACCTCATTTTACTGATGGAAAAACTCAGGCCTATAGAAGTAAAGTGACCATTCCAAGGTCACACAGCAAGTTAATGGCTGAGCCAGGAACAGGGCTCCTGATTTGCCTGGAGCTTTTCCCACTGGACCATACTTCCTTGTCTTGAATTTACCTACTATTTTTTAAGAAAGTAACGGCTCTGGGACAGCTAGGTGGTGCAGTGCATAGAGCTCCAGCCTTGGAGTCAGGAGGACCTGAGTTCAAATTTGGCCTCAGACACTTGACACTTAACTAACTGTGTGACCCTAGGCAAGTCACTTAAGTCTGATTGCCTCACCAAAAAAAAAAGCAAAAAATAAAAAAAAAAAAGTAATAGCTCATGGATGTAGTTTCTGCAGTAGGGAGATGTTTTTTAGGAAGCTCTTTTCTTTCTTGAACAATAAATAAGCCTACTAAATCTGTTAATTGTCTCGTTAATGTGGTTAACAAGGCCTCTAGACACTGAAAGTCTGTTCTCCCCCAAGGGAGATCCATGCTGCCCTTAGGGACTTGGCTTAACCAGGACACTGAGTCTTTCTAAGCACCCACTCTCAGAAATATTGTAGAAGACTCCACTTGGGAGGAGGTTTTTCCTAGACGTCTTGCAACTCCCTCTTCCCTCTCCCCAACTGCTCCTGGTTCTACCCTCCAAAGGTCAAGGAGAATGAGACTTCTCCCTCTTCCATTTGACAGCTATCATGGTCCCCTGAGATTTCCCTTCTCCACGGTAAACATGCCCAGTTCCCTCAGTGGATCCTCATAAAACATGGAGTCAAGGCACTTCATCAGCCTGGTAGCACTCCTCTGGACACCCTCCAGTTCATCAATGCCCTTCTTTCTTTTTCAAAATAAGATTATTTTATTAGACATATTAGGTACTTAAAATGTTTGTTGTATGGAATTTAAATGAGTAAAGAAGAGTGTGTGTTTGAATATTAAATATTATTACGTATATTATAGAGTTGAATTTTTTGGATTGTTAATGCTAGGATATGCCTAAGAAGAGAGTATATTTGAATATTAAATATTTTTATGTGTCCTCTAAAGTTGAATTTTTTGGATTGTGTAAATGCTAGGACACACCTTAAGAAGAGTATTTTAATATTATATATATATATGTATGTATGTATGCATATATATACATATATATATAATGGAGTTGAATTTTTTGGATTTTTAAATGCTAGGCTATACCTTCTTTGCCATAGACATTCATCACCTTGTAATTCTAGCTACCATGGTCACTACCCTTGCATATACCCTCTGAGTCATACAGAATCTTTCCTTTGCTAGAGATCATCTACTTCTCCCCATCAATGCCCTTCTTAAAATGTGGTGCCCAGAAGGGAACACAATATTCCTACTCCACATCTGACCTGATGGGGCAAACTCCATGACGCCTCTCTTAATGAAACAGCCCAAGGCCTGTTCCCTTTGGCCCCAGAGGCAGAACTAGGGGTGATGGATGGAAGCTGAAGAGAGGCAGATTTAGCCTCTCTGTCAGACAAAAGTTCCCAACAATCAAAGCTGGAATGGGCTGCCTTGAAAGAAGATGGCTTCTCCATAGCTGGAGGACTTTAAATCAAGGCTGCCTGACCATTTGTCAGGGATGTTATAGAGGCAGCTGAGGAGCACAGTGGGTAAGAGCATGGGCCTGGCATCAGAAAGACCCAAGTTCATATTCTGCCTCAGATACTTGGTAGCTATGTGACCCTGAGGAAGTCAATTGCTCTCGGCCTCAGTTCTCTCATCTGTAAAATGGGGATAATAATAGTACCCACCTCTCAGGGTTGTTGTGAGGATAAAATATAAAGGAAGGAAGGAAAGAAGGAGAGAATAAAAAAGAAAGGAAAGGGAGAGAGAGAGAGAGAGAATTAAAAGTCTTAAAGTCAGATGCGCCTAGTTCAAATCCTAGTTCCTACATGACCAGCTGTGTGACTCTGGGCAAATGAGTTAACTTCTCTGTTCCTTATATGTAAAATGGGTTAAGTCTTGCTTGGGCTTCCATGTATGAAGAAAACCCTTTGTCATGTGACTGTAGAAGTTGCCGTTGTCATCCCTTCCCACTTTTACAATTGAGGAGACGGAGGCACAGACAGGTTAAGTGACTTGTCCAGGGTCAACAACCCAGTAACACAGCAGAATCTGGATTTGAACCCATATCTTCTGATACTAAAGTTGGTTTCCTCCCTCCTCTGTAAATAAGAGATTTAGTCTAGATCTAGATCAATAGTTCCAAAGTTTTCAGTCTCGAGACTCCTTTACACGTCCAGAAATTATCAAGGACCCCCACCAAAGAGCTTTTGTTTATGTAGTTTATATCTGTTGGTATTTACCATGTTAGAAATTTAAGCATCTTAGTATTATGATGAAAATAGTTTTGACTTCAAAGACCCCCTGAAAGGGTCTTGGGGAAGGCCCTCCAAGGGTCTGTGAACCACACTTTGAGAACCACTAGATGAATGAATGATTATTTATTAAGTGCTTACTGTATGCCAAACACTGTAACAAGAACTGGGAATGGAAATACAAAGGACGGTCCCTCAGGTCCCTTTCTACACTAATATTCTATGATGTTGGCAGGTACTCGGTGGCCAGTTACTCTAAGCCATAACTGGACAAGACTTTCCTCTTCAGAACAAGGGCTCCTCCAGTCTTCCCTTGATGAGGGGGAGGACAGTGAGGGGGATCTTGCTATCTCTCGAGCCCCCCCTCACTTCTATGCAGCTCTGCTGGTTAAGAAGGATTTCTCAACCTCCACTTGAAATGCAGGGAGGCTGCTCCTGGTGCTGCCCTCTGGGATCAGGAAGAACAAAGGCCAATCCCTTCTCCAGTCATTCAATAATCAGTGATCATTTATTAAGCATCTACTGGGTGCCCTTACACCAAGGATACAATGAAGTCCTCTCTTTTCTTATTCTAGTCTATCTCCCTTGGAGACTCAGGGCCCCCAGCCACAGGCACCTTATCAGATCCTAGCCTTTAAAAGCCTCTGAAAAGTTTCTTAGACCCTCCTTCTACCTGTAGTAACTGTAATAGCAAATGTGTGTGTCACACCCTAAGGCTTACATAGTGCTCTGTGTATTACATCCCATCCTTGCCTCATAAGAACCCCATGAAGTAGGTGCTATTATAATCCCCATTTTATAGATGAGAAACTGAGGCTCATGGAGATTAAATGATGTACCCAGGGTCACACAGCTAGTTTGTTCTCTGAGGTGGGATTTGAACTCAGGTCTTTCCTGATCCCAAGCCCAGCGCTCCAGCCACATGCACCACCTTAGCTGCTCTGTACTTCAAGCCCTGTCCTCCTTGGGTAAAGAAACCAGCCGCTCACCAGAGGACCTTCACATGAGACAATGGTGCATTGCTCTTTTCAGCCAGTGAGAAACCTGCCCAGCTACTTAAGAATCCGATTATCGGCCTGGCCCAATTTTATCTGTGCTCGTCCAACTCCAGAATCACCCCAGGATCCTCTGGCTCTGACTCTCTGCCTGTGGTCTGTCTGTCTGCCTGTCTCTCTCTGCCTTTGTCTCCCTGTCTCTCCCTCCCTCCCCACTTCAGTCTCTCTGTTTCTCTCTCTGCTTCTCTTTCTCTCTCTCCTTCTCTCTCTCTCTTTCTCTCTCTCTCTCTCCCTCCCTCCACCCCTCCCTCCCTCCCTCCCCCCCCATGTCTTTCTTTCTCTTTCTCTCTCTCTCTCACTGTGTTTCTCCCCCTATCTATCTGTCCCTCTGGTTTCTTCCTCCCTCCCTTCTTTCCTTCCTCCTTTCTTCCTTCTCTCTCTGTCTCTTTGTGTGTGTGTGTGTGTGTGTCTCTCTCTCTCCTTTCCCCCCTCCCTCCCTCCCTTTCTCTGTCTCTCTTTCTCTCTCCCTGTCTCTCCCCGTCTATCTGTCCCTCTGTTTCTTTCTCCCTCTCTTCTTCCCTCTCTCTCTGTCTCTCCCTCTGTTTCTCTGTCTCTCTCTGTCTCTCTGTCTCTCTCTCCTTCTTTCTCTCTCTCCTGTCCTCCTTTCTTCCCTCCCTCCCTCTCTCTTTCCAGCACAAATTTTACAGAGATATTTTCTTCTGGGCTGAGCTCCAAGGTGCCCAACTCCAGCCTGGAGAGAGGTTTTTATAGTCAGGGCTATAAACCCAGTTATATAGAGGTTTATAATGGAAATGCTGACAGCACCTTAACTGGGGCATCCCGAATGGTGGGCCCATAATAAGCACATAAATTTGGTAGCATAACTTCTGAATTATAGTCTTAAGTATGCAGTAAAAAGGTAACAGAGCAAACCAATGGAAATGAGGTGGAGGATGGCGAGGTCACCAGCCAGGGACAGGCAGTGCCCGAGGCCGGGCTGGGCCAAAGCAGGCCAGGGAGTCTCCTATCCCCGAGGGCATCAGGAAGCTCATGGGAGCCTCACAAAGTCCCTGCCCTTTTTCAGAGCATGGGGCAGAGAGATGGGCTTATTATTAAGGGACACATAGCTCCTGGGAATAAAGAGATTTTGTTGCCCCACTGTCCCCTAACTTAGGCAGACCACATCTGGAATGTTGGTTCGGGTCTAGACAACAAAATTTAGGTAGTGGTGGATGAACAACCAGGATGATAAGGTCAGTATCTCTTTGTAAGCTGGTACAACAGATAGAGGGCTTTGCTTAGAGTCAGGAAGACCGGAGTTCAAATCCTGCCTCAGACAATTAATAGCTATATGACCCGGAGCAAGTCACTTGACCTCTGTTTGCCTTGGGTTCCTCATCTGTAAAATGGGGAGAATAATAGCACCTGCCTGGCAGGGTTGTTGTGAGGATCAAATGAACTGGGCATATACTAAGCACTTAATACATGCTCCTTCCCTTCCTTCCTCTCTCAATCTCAGTTTCCCAAACTATAAAATCAGGTTAACAATGCCAGTTACTTCACAGGATTGGGAGGATCAAATGAGATAATATATATGATATATATATGATATTTATATATTGTCTGTATTTCTAAATCATGTTTATATAATATTTTATATAACATATTCATATTTATGTATAATTATATATTATATATAAAGTACTTTTCAGATACCTTAAAGCCCAGTATAGACGTCATCATCATTATTATTGATTTTCATTGGCTATTATTCTCAAGTATTAATATCATTAATAAAATCATTCCTAATGGTCGTTATTATAATGAGTTAACTATTCATGATCATTATTGTTATTATTTAATTCATTTGAAGGAACTGGGAATGTTTAGTGTGGAGAAGAGAGGTCTCGGGGGGCCATGTTAGCTGTCATCCAGAATGTAAAGGTCTGTCATGTGGAGAAGGGATTTGGCCCCCAAGGGCCAAACAGGAAGCAGTGGATGAAAATTTGCAAAGAGGCAGTTTAGGTGCAATGTCAGAGGCAAGGCGGCCATTGGCCTCTACAGTGACCTTGGCCCTGGGTAGCTCAAACCCATCTGAACCAGGACTGGTCTCTCCACAGGGGCCTACAGGAAGCACAAATCACTTTGGCCGCTAGACTGGGAGAAGCAGAAGAAAAGATCAAGATTCTACATTCAGGTACTTGAAGAGTTCACATCAGGGTCCCCATTCAGACCCCAGGGCCCCGGGCTGGAGGAGTGAGCTGGAGCTCCAAAGCTGGGACCGTGTAGGAAAGACATAAAAATGTGTCCCATTCCAGGGATTCTGCAGTGTGCGGGACTCTAGGTGCGGGAACTCCCTCCGTGGACACAGACTAGCCACCCCTCAGTACCTCTCAGTATTCCAGAGGGGCCAGCGTGGGTCAGAGGCAGGAAGGACTTCAGCCTAGCTCTTTCCTGACTCCTGACTCCATGGGCAGCTCTCTCCACCATGTTACTTTTCTCTACACGTATAGAATATCATTTTTGTTGGACCTGTGATTTCACTGATGTAAGGGACTCCAAGCAAAGAAATTACCTCTCCCAATGCAGACGGGTAATTCTTCTGTAATCTGTAGTCTTAGGGCGACGCCTGGTGACAAAGAGAGTGACTTACCCAAGGGTCACTCAGCTAGCCTGTGCCAAAGGAGAGACTTGAACCCAAGCATTTGACCGGGCATAATCACGATGCCCCTCTAAAGCTGGCAGAGTGGTGAAAGGGATAGACCTGGGGTCAGGAAGACCTGGGATCAAATACTTGCTAGCTCTGTGACCCTGGGCAAGTCACTTACCCTCCTTCAGCCTCAGTTTGCTTATCTGTAAAATGAGCGTATTAATAGCACCACCTTCTTCCCAAGGTTGTTATGAGGATAAAATGACACACGCGATCATTTGCAAACCATGAAGCACCGTAAAAATGCTAGTTAGTATCTTTGATATTAAAGGCTCCCCTCTAACAAGGGGTCCCCTGTGTCTAGGTCAAATAGAAGATTCCTTGATAAAGGCACCAATGGAAATAACTCTTCTACAAACTTCTAATGATTAATCCCAAGCAAGGCAGGAGCCCATGTGTGCTCAAGAAAAGTGTTTCCTACTCTCATGGAAAATGGAACAACACAGCGTCATACAGGGGGAAGAACTCTGGATTTGTTTAAATCCCAACTGTACTATTTACTACATGAGAGGCTCTGGGTCAGTCACTGAACCTCTCTGTGCCTCAGTTTCCCAATCTATAAAATAAGACATTTGTGCTAAATGGTCTCTGAGGTCCCTTTTAGATCTAGTTCTGTCATCCCATGATCCTTCTCTGAACCTCAGTTTCCTCATCTGTAAAATGAAGACTAGATGACCACCTTTCGACCCTATATCTGTGGTTCCTAGGCTGACCCAGTACCCACTATGCCCCCTTGCTGCCTTCCCAATTGAGACATACATTCGTATGCTACAACCAAGATGGGAAATAGGAACTGAACTTGTGATCTGATTGGTATTGGGAACTCCCAGGGAAGGAAAGTCTCTCCACCAATGCAGGTCAGAACCTTCTCTTCAGCTTCTCGTCTTAAGGAGCTGTTCAGAGCAGGGAGGTCAAACACAGGGTGACCCACAGAACTCCCAAGTGCAGCCAGAACCAGATTAAAATGCAATTGGGAAATATTTAACAAAATAAATAAAAATAAAGAAGAACACAGATAATGTTTGTATGTGGTTTTCTAAGGCAATATACGTAGCCCTCAGGGATCTTTATAACTGGTTTACTGGCACCATTTCTATTTGACTTTGACTTCACCGATCTAGAGCTCTGAGAGTTTAAATGACTTGCTTACAGTCATACAGCCAGAATGTAGCAGGACTTGAACCCAGGACTTCCTGGCTTAGAGGACAACTCTCTGTCCACTATGCCAGCTGCTTAGCCTCGATGACATAGCTTGAGGTTAGTTTATTCTGCTCTTTCCCAACACCAGGTCTACATATAAAAAAGCTGGCCCAGCACCTAGACTCAGAGGAAAGTCAGTCAGTCAACAAACATTTATTAGGCACCTGTGCTAAGTGCTGGGGATACAAACACAAAAAAGAAAGAGTCTCCACCCTCAAGGAGCTTCTAATCTAATGGAGGAAGAGAATACACAGAAGAAAGCTGAAAAGTAGGAGGGGAGGAGGTTTGAGAAGGTACCTGGGTGGAAACACGGTTACCTGGGTGGAAACACGGTAGAGAAGTCCAGAACTAGGACAGCCAGCTGGGAAATGAAGGAGGGGATGGCCTTCCTGGGCCCCCTACTTAGATGGAGGTTTGGGTGTTCATGGCTGTGCCTTCTAGTTAGAGGGGCAAGAGCATTATGAGGAAGTGTGAGTACCAAGGCCAATTCCATCCTGCAAAATGATGAGGTTTCCTAATAAGAGAAGTGTGTGAGTGTGTGTGTATAGATCGATGAATGGCTACATGGATGGATGGATGGATGGATGGATGGATTAGATGGTTAGATGAATGGATGGATGGATGGATGGATTGGTGGATGGATAACAGATGGATGGATAGATTGGTGGATGGATTGATCATTG